CATGGTGGCCTATAAACTGCCTAAAACTTTATCGATTGGAAGGAAATACTTGTTTAAATGCACGTTATGAACGTTTCAGGCTAAAATGGTCAACAAAAACAAAACAACACGAACGATCGGCCCTGGGTCCAGAAATTACCCGTCCTTACAAAAAACAACGTGTTGTTAACAATCGCAAAGGAACGCTTATCTTTCAATTTTTCTTTACAAGATGAATGCTGTCAAAAAAACAAATTGATTCATAAGTTCTTTGAAGCAGCAATTCATTCGCCGCTCACCATCTCAATATTTAATTCATTTCCTTGACCTGGCAGCTTATTTCAGTCTTGTGGGAAGTCATAAGACTTGAACATTTCAGAATACAATGGATGGATCAGTATTTCACCGAAAGCAACTTCCTTGATTTTGGGCTTTCAAGTCCGAACTTTGGAAGGCAGGAAGGAAGGCTCTGAACCTGGGTAACAGCAAACAGCTATTTTCTTATTATCAGACTTTCACTGAGAAATCAGGAGGCAGGGTCGTGACCGACTTAAAACGAAAAACTTGAAAAACTCTCGACGAAACAGTATTCGACAGGCGTACATGTAAAAGGGAAATTTGTTTTATATTCCGAGCGCAAATTAGTTGAAACTACATGTAAAAATACCCAGCCACTTGCTTTGCATCAGATGTTGAATGTTTAACTTTCTTCAAGACTTTGTCCAGTAATTAGAACTGTTCAACAAAACAGATTTCGATCTACATTATTAGCTATTTCATTGAACTAAAAAATTAAGATTATAAAATAAATTAAACAATTCGCTGCATGCACACATACCCAGCATTCCTAAATATGTGTTCTTTCTGACTGGTCCAAAACTCCTGTTCTACAAAGTTAAACCAATACCGCTGAGGTGCTTGTGATCTGCAGAAGGGTATGCGATTAAAACTTCCAGAATTAAAATTACACGACTTAGGCAAACTGAAATGACATGGCAGTAGTGTTTCTTTAATTAGCTAGGGAACCGTCCTTTTTTGTGAGAACTCCGGGGGGGTGGGGGTGGNCAAACTGAAATGACATGGCAGTAGTGTTTCTTTAATTAGCTTGAAAACCGTCCTTTTTTGTGAGAACTCCGGAGGGGTGGGGGGGTGGTGTGATTTAGGGTGAGAGGATGCCAATAAAATGTCTTAAAAGGGGTGGAGGGTGGTACCAGAAATATTTAAAAATTCTACCAGAATACCTAAATATCATTTCTGAGTTTCTGAAAATTATAATTTTTCCGGGTAAGGAAGTCCCCCCTTCCTTATTGGCTCTGTACAAAATACGGTATTAACGCAGTCCCACCAACTATTTGGTTGGAAATACAGCCCGTCCCTACTCATGACGAATTAAATTTTACTGAAGTATTTTTTTTTTTGGAGGGGGGTGGGTTAATCTCAAAAGTTTTGGATTACGAGGAGGCAGTGTTAAAATTTCGTATAAAGAAGGGATTATTACAGATTGAAGGGACTATCTATGATAGCACTTCCCGCCAGCCAACCCTTGCCCCCTCCCATAAAAAGTGACGGTGGGTACCTTGGTTACGTAAGCTAAATAGCTTGAGGGACAACAAAATGTTTGATTATGCTTGCGTTTTGGTGTGAAATCGATGACGATGCGATGCGATGACGTCAGGATTTATAAATATTCAGTTACAAGGCATCGATCTGATTTGGATGTTTTCGACAACAACTTCAGGGATACAAGAAAATTCATTTTTCAGTAGGGGCTAACTCAGGGAATTAACTAAAATATTATTTTCAACAGTTGTAGTTGTTTTTGAATGCTAGAACGTTCTCATCTTTGTCATACTTTTATCTGAAAACAACTTTGTTTGCTTTGTTTCCAAAATACAGAACTGAAGCGTACATTAAAGTAAAGACGAGACTCGAATCAGTTGGCTAGGGACTTGGATGTGGACTTCCATGCTGAGGATCTAGCCAGTGGACTTAAATTATCGAAAGTTAGGCTTTCAGCTACCTGACTACTCTGACAACCATACCTGTTTAAGAGGAAATCAAATCTTTGAAGAGAGTAGGAACAAGCGGCGAGACTAGCACTATATTTACCCGTCGACTGTGATCGGCGACTAAGAAGTTAAGTCTCTGTCAGTTAGGGCAAGAATAGTTACCCTTTCATCAGTATAACTTGTGGGTGAATGTCAGCCGCAATGAATAAGTAAAATGCTTCAGTTCATGGAGAAGTTTACCACAACATTTGTTGTCATGGGGCTCTCATGGCAGAAGTTTGAAATTTGATTCCTTCCGTGTTGCTCAACAAGGAAGAAAGACATATTCGACATTAATAGTATTAGACTGCAATCGATCTGTTTTAAAAGCTTTTTACAGAATGAATGACACGTTATGTTGTATCAGTGCTTCAAGCACGCCAAGCATGCTGCTTCAGTTTGTAAGATACAGAGAACACAAATTGCACAGGGATTTTTCAAAACATCATTGATAAGTAAAACTTGTGCCAGAGCAAAAAAAATATATCTTTTAGTTCGTGGAGATATATATTACAGCTTCCTCGAGATTCGATTCCTTCCGCATTCCTTATCAGGAGAAAAAGATAAGCTTGACATTTACATTATCAGAACAAAGTCCGGTCTGTAGTGCAGTAAATATTTTAAGTCGACTTAAAGTGCAATTTCGCATTAGGCGACGTGAAACGATTTTACGGCGGTGGGATGATGAGGAAATGGAGGCCAGATTCAGTATTACTCCTTCTTGCAAAGTGCTGGTATTCTAATAAATACATGAATGATGGCCAGACTTGGCTAAAATGTGTGAAACATCAGACTGAAGTAAATCACCACGCAATACTGCTGCATAGTGCCTCTCAAGATCTCTCTGCTCCGCGGAAGCTGAGGAAGGAGAGAACCGCTGAGCAACATGCAGGCGCAGGAGATTAAAATTTTTACGACGGCTTTGCTCAAAGCATTTAACAGAACATTAACAGAGAGGTTACTCGAACGGTGCACGGAAAAGACAGGATTATAACTGATTATAGCCGCACTGATTTCTTTGCTTGTAAAACAAATAAAAGTAGAAAAAGATAAGAGAATGATACCACCTTCTTTAGAGCCAAAATGTAACATAACACGATCAGCAAAAATTCTTAAATCACTGATCTATTTGCGTTTTTCGAGAGAGCGTGACTTAGTCTTTTTTAGGAGAAACCTGAAGGTCAAGTTACTTCGTGGCTTCTGTGATACCAGTTTTGTAGATCTTTGTATGACAAGGAAATAGCTAAACGCAAGGCATATCCATAATAGAAAAATACACGACTAAAGGGAAAATAACACGGTTAATCGACGCGGAATGGAAAGCCGGCTTTTCGTGCCAGTCATCACGTCTACCACCACAAAGGACACACTCAAGTGGGCTGGCTTTTTGTTATTTTAAATAAAATTACATGACATTCACATGCGGAATGCAAATAATCGACGTGTAACCAAAGTATGTGCTAATATTTAATAGATAAATGCAACAGTCTACTTAGAAAAGCAGAATTAGGGGAATTTGAACACAAAACACGTTGAAGGGACAGAGGCAAAAAGGCACTGTACTTCCTTCTCTAGCCTCCAATTCCCCGATTCCTGCCCTGTCCCTATCTATTACTACCACCCTATTTTAAGCCTGCCACTCACGCTTTTGCGAAAAATTCTGAAGACCGGCTATCATGACCAAAGCACTGTGAGACACCGTGAAACATTTACTACAAGTATGGTCACTTGACTCCTCAAGAGTGGATCATGCATTTTAAAACTGTTCACGTCTCAGCATTTCGGATTTTTTAACTAGCTTCCACAGTCAAAACAAAAACTAGTGAAGACAAAGGACCCCACAGAGGACAAGAGAGACGTTTCTTCTGGCAACTGAACCTTTATACACTCTATTGTAGTGAACGTGATCAGGGCGTGTTGTTTTTTTCTTTCTTTTCCAGTCAGGTTGAAATATTTTAATTAAATCCTTTGACAAGCATTAATGTGACGAGTTAGCTAAAAAAAAGAACAATTAGCAAATGATCTGCTATAACATTTAACCAAGCGGATTATATCACGTTTGATATAAAGAAGTTTGATGTGGCCGACAGGGTATGTAAACTCCTTCACGTACAAACTTGCTTTCAATAAAACACCATAAATTCGCCAGAACTGTAATTACAATCGAAAAATACACAGAAATTAAATGGAGGGAATGTCAGGGCTCTCAAATGATCGAAAGATGAGTGTAATAATCACTCAATTACTCAAGGCTCCTCGAAGGTAACACGTGCCTCTCAAAGTAATTTCCACTAGAGACACGTTTTTAAGGAATAAAAGAATTTTTATGTTGGTTGCCTGTCATTCACCAACTGATCTGTTGCTAGGCTACTTTCCAATCTTTTGTTTGATTAGTCTGGCGCTGAACCACTTTTTGATTTTTTCTTTTATTTCAGTCTGTAACCTTGAACTTGTAATGTCAAGGTTGCTAACGAATGTTTGTTTTGAATCTGTTCAGTGAATTGTTTTTTTTTTTCCAGAGGTTTTTTTTGTTCCTTTCTTGACTTATCTGATAATGATAATTGAACAACGCCTTTTAAGCCTTTTAAATAACATTGCTTTTAACGCAGATGCATGTTAATCCTGAATTTTTCGTTTAACTTCGTTAAACATATAAGTTGGAAAA